CGACAAGCCGATACAAATGGCTCATGCCATTCAGGAGATAGCTCTTGACATTGTTGTTGCTGGCCTCCGTGCCAGAGGTCACTCGAATGCCGAAGTTGCGGTACTTCCGGATGAAGCAGCGAGCCCACTGCTCCCTCACAGGCATGTATGTACTATAGAGATACGCAAGAATCGCTTTCTGGTCGCCGAATTGCATGCAGAGGTATTCCCAGGCCTTCTCATGATCCTCTTCCGTCTCAGCAAACACCACAAGTCTCCACAGCATAAGCACTCCGTTGTAATCGTGGGTTACAGATTGCGGAGAGTTGTCTCGGGTAATTGGCTCTTCTTGTCTTTCAGATTCCTGTACTGCCTGCCAATCGCGGTCGTCAAGGTCTGCATCGGGCTCGACCGAAACATCCTCTTCGCCGGCGCCTCTATCCCTAGTTCCATACACCCACCTCCGTTTGGACTGCAGCATTACATTGGAGTTGACATGGTGGATGCATATCTGCTGCTGCGCTTCTGGAAACTCAATCCCAAGGGCCTGTTTCATCTGTTTGTCAAAGTCGGTGATAACAACATCGGGAGTCCGGATGCCGGCGCGGCTAAGCAGCGTGCGTACGCCATTAGCAAGGAACTGGAACCCTTCAAGCCTCTCGTTGTCGATCAACCCAAATGCGGCGTTAAAGACAGTACCCAGGCAGGTATGCCCCGTAACTTGGAAAAGGGGCAACTTAAAACGGTTGGTGTTGTATGTGTTGTCGAAACTAATGACCTCGGAGAATCGCTTCCACATCCGGAGGCAATAAGGGAACGTCCATACCAACCCCACCAGACGGTCGGGCTCATCTCTGTCCCACTCCGCAATGTAAGGGATCCCCTTCTCGTCGAACAACCTGATCAGTGCAGCCGTAGAACTGTAACAACCCAAATTTTCTCTATTAATCAGGGCCCTAGCATTATAAATATCCCTCGGGACATAAACTGAATCTGGGAAGTGATCTCGGACGATGCCACCAATATCTCGTGCGCGAATGCCCACTCGCCGACTGGTAGACTGAATTGTAGCCTTCACAGGACTAGTTAGCCGCCTATGGACAGGGTGAGCGGCGGCATCAGCGCTACACCTGTGGTTGTGTTGGCGGTGCTGCACTTCTGGAAAATGCCGCAGAGTCCATTGGAAGTTATTCTGCGGCAAGGCCTCAGCGACAATCTTCCACAGGCACCCCGACTTTCGAGATTTTCGCTTCCGAAGACCAGCACCCCTTCCAGGCCTTGGAGTCCCATATCGATCACATTGGAAAATGTATCGACTTCGGTGTCCAGGTCGAACCATGCCGTTGGCCTTGACAACCCCAAATCCATGTGCTTTCGCAAAATGGTTTACTTGAGTAAGAAGGGAGTTAACAGACGGAGCTGGATTCCCGGGGATTGGCGGGTTTGGGATTGTTTCGTCAGTTTTGGACCCCGAACTGGTATCGGACAAGTCATGCTGTTCTGACAGTCCGTCAGCCTCGCCAGGGACGCTTGACGGCAAAGAGTATTGATCAGGGCCCGTGGCTAGTTGTGATACCCCCGCTCGTGCTTGCAGCTGATGCCTTTCATCAGACCATGTACGTTCCTTTTCGTGAGCTAAGGCAAGGGCAGAGGCCAGGTGTCGGTCGGCTCGTGCAAGCTGGCCAGCCAATCCCAACGCAGTCGGAATGACCGTCAGCTTTGTTATAGCCTGCGTTATCTGCTCGTCTCGGTTCAGTCGATTGGTACACAGCTCCTCTGGTATGATCTTGGCTGGGTCTGGTATCAGTGTATCAACGTGCTGTAACTGCTGGCTTGGTCGATACTCAGAGGTGCGATAGTCATTTCGGAGGTATATGTCCGATTTCCGCCACCGAACACCCGGGGTATCCTCTCCGACTGAATCGTGAAGCCCAGGCAGGGAGACGAAATGCTTATCGAGTCATCCTGGAGGCACCCCGCCCACACATTCCGTACCGTACCGGCAGCATTCGAGGCTGGTGGTGGAACTGCTTGACTGTTCTGAGGTGCTCGACACCGGTCGCGATTCCGTCAGTGTAGAGTGATTGATTGGGCTAACTGGACCTCGGCGACGGCTTATATTGGCGGC